CAATGTGATATTTTTAATATATTTTTTTGCGTGTTTCAGTATTATAATATGTGGCTAAGTCTTGCTGGTTCTATTCTCTGTGTTTCTGTGATGTTCTTGATCTCATGGTGGACAGCGTTAATTACGTTATGTGTAGTTTTAGCACTTTATCTCGTAGTCTCGTATAGAAAACCAGGTAATATTTCGTAGACTTTTGCCGTTTTAATTTTAACATGATAATATAAAACTAATGTAAACGTAAATTTGCAGATGTAAATTGGGGTTCTACGACGCAAGCCCAAACGTACAATAGCGCCCTAAATGCTGTCCAACAATTAGATAGAGTCGAAGAACACGTTAAAAATTATAGACCTCAACTATTAGTACTCACTGGCACTCCAAGTGCAAGATTAGCGCTTGTTGATTTTGCACATCATATTACCAAGAATAATAGTTTATTTATTTGCGGCCATGTTATCGAGGTACGGTATATTTTAAATAAACGTATTTTTTTTTTTTTTACATGAAGGTTTTATTAAATAACGCATACATGCTTTTATATTTCAGGCACCGGTGTCGTATAAAACGCGAAACACCATGATCGTGAACTGTACTTCCTGGTTTAGAGCAAATAAAATTAAAGCATTTTATTCTTTGGTGGATGGTGCAAACTTCCAAGAAGGAGTAACTTCTCTTCTGCAAGCCGCTGGCTTGGGAAAAATGAGGCCTAATATATTGTTAATGGGCTATAAGCATGACTGGGCGACTTGCCCACGAAAAAATCTGAATATGTACTTTAACGTGATGCAGTAAGTGTAATACACTTTTTTGTGACCAATTTTTTTTATAACTGAATTAAAAATTTTGTATCTGTTATACAGCAAAGCTTTAGATATGCATATAGCGGTAGCTCTTCTTCGAATAAGCGAAGGTTTAGACTGTAGCACAGTTATAGGAGATGCTGAGGAACAGAAGAAGAATGCGCAAACGATTCCAGGGAATCAAAGCTTTTCTCAGCTTAGTCAAGGTTTGTAAAATGCTTGTAATTTTTTATAACGTTAAACTTTAGACAAAATTTGTCGACATCGCGTGTAATTATTCAATTAACATTTATCTGCACAGCTAGCAGCACCTCAGATATTTCTATTCCTGGTAGTCCGGCTCCACGGAGGTCCAAAATGATCAATGAATATCCTAATCCAACCGTGGAAGATCAACGCGAAAATCGACAGAATATTACACCCGTAGCAAAAAATATACTTACTGCTGTAACAAAATTCCAACGTAAGCAGAAGAAGGGCACGATAGACGTGTGGTGGTTGTACGATGATGGTGGTTTAACCCTTCTGTTACCCTACATTATTAGTACAAGGCGTAATTGGTCTAACAGTAAATTAAGAGTGTTTGCCCTGGCTAATAAAAATTCTGAACTTGAATACGAGCAAAGAAAGTAAGTAATTAATTTTCTATAAATAAATTGGGATAAAACAAATTTACTAATTTTATTACTGTGACTCTTAGTATGGCGAGTCTTTTATCAAAATTCAGGATAGACTACTCTGCATTGAAAGTTATTCCTGACATCTCGAAACCAGCACAAGAAAATACAAAGAGTTTCTTTGATTCCTTGATAGCAAATTTCCAGCAAGCAGCAAATCCGAAAATAACAGACGACGGTATTGTTACCTTCGTTGCATTACTATTTGATTAAACAAATATGTTAAAATTTACTTGAACAATTGATTTCTTTTCTAGATGTTATTAAAGAATCTGAACTACTTGCTATGAAAGAAAAAACGAATAGGCATCTACGTTTAAGAGAATTATTACTTGAAAATTCGATGGAAGCCAATTTAGTAGTTATGTAAGTGAAACAAAATCATATTTCTTTATGTCTTCGGGTTATAATGTATCGACATTGTTGTTTTATTGTATGCTCTTTTTAGGACATTGCCAATGCCTCGAAAAGGTGCTGTATCAGCGACACTTTATATGGCCTGGCTTGAAACTCTGACCCGCGACATGCCACCATTTTTACTTGTTCGAGGAAATCATACATCTGTTTTAACTTTTTATTCTTAAAGACGCGAAACAAATAAGAACACTGACGTGTAATGAGATCGATAATTATTGAAATTAGTTCAAGTGTTTTACCAATGACTTAAACATTATAGTTGCGTAATTAAGTGAATTAATAAAAAACAAGGAGAGAAAAATAGAAAAACTGCCCAGTGACACATATAATAGTAATATGCCTTTATATGTTGAAAGAGGCATACGTTTGAATGAGTTAGTATACGGGTGTGTGTTTAGTAAGGACCAATCTCTAAACATATTTGAATACAATGAATGCAGCAAGACTGTATTATTTTTTTAATAACATGTTTGCCACAATAATTGTTCCTAAATTTCGAAATGTTTTCCATCCACCAATTGTAAAAAACATAATTGCATCCTTATGAATACTTAAAATAAATGGCGACATCAGATACTGTAAGTTGTACAATCACCAATTTTCACATGTTTGCTTACAATTATTCAAAATTTCAATAATAGATTTTGGTAAATTTATTTATTTAAAAAATGATCGACAATCGTATGATGTATTTTGAATAATTATAAGCAAATATGAACTTTTGGAATCTGAATTTGAGAAGAAAATACTAGTCCTAGGTTTAGCATTAAAACTAAAATTGGTATCTATTTATATTAGATGATAAAATCATGTATAAAGTTTTGAAATTCCATTCAATTGCAGATACTATATTAAGTCGTTCGTGTAAGGTGTTGAAAATGTTTTGTTAGAACGTTTTTTGAATAAATCTGCTATTTTATTAATTGAGCTAATAAAAAATATATTCACACATCTTCCATTGATGCAGGTAGGGAATTAATTAATCAATACTAGACTATAACGTCTAGCATATATTTTTTATTTCGTTTACAACTTTGTAGCCTTATACACTTTGGAGAATTTGCAAAGAAATATACAGAATAATATTAAACCTAATGTTTACAAACTGTAAAACATTCGTTGTGAAATTCTATTTAAATTATTAAATTTACAGAACCACAATATTGTTTTTAAATATTCGTACGAAAAAATGATCGAATGAATTACGAAAGCAAAAAAATATTTGCGAAAACATGCATATCAAAATGTATAAACCTATATTAAAATTACTTAAATATTGTCATGACCTTTAATAATATAAAGGAACTGCAAATTGTATTAATACCTTACAGTTGTGAATTTGTTAAAACAGTTTAAGCTTGTTGCAGTATATACTGTGTATACATGAAATTTGTTCTTATACAGAAATTTTGTTCCTTTCTCTATTCAGTAGACTCTTAATCGCGTAACTTTGCTATAATGTGAATCAGCACGTTAACTCTTAACTATCAGTGCTTTTATATATCATTAACTCTGTAGTATATAATTGAATTATAGAAGAACTCTATTTGAATAGTTAGGTGAACACTTTTTATAGACTAGTAGCAAATACATTCAAAGGTATCAGAATACTGATGATTGATTTCTAATAACTGATTTTTAATTATATAACACAAAATATCAAAAGTAGATATTGTATTTTGATATTGAATTTATTGTAGAAATTCATCATATATTACTAAAGCATAGAATGTAAAATAATAAATAGAAAACAATCATAAAATATGTTTGAAATCATGAAAATATAAAAAATACTATTCTTTTGAGAATATCACTATGTATCTATAAATGCTGCCATAATAAAGGAAAAAAAAGATAATTTTTATGTAAATGGCAAGATAGAAAATGACTCCATATAATATAAATCTACAAATTAGGTAAATAAAAGTTTTAATATATTATCTCTACTGTAAATATGTTAAAATTAAATATATTAATCTTCTTAATTATAAAATCTCTTTTATATTAAGATAATCTTTTTATAAAATAATTATAAAATAATCTTTTCTGTTCATTAAAGTAGTTATTAAAGTTTTAGAGTGACGTAAATGCTACGTCAATATTATAGATTTTTGCACAGCATTTTGGTAATATTTCTTATTAGAAATATTAAAACTCTTGATTTTATGATTCACATCAATATGTAACTCTAGCAATTTAACATGTTTGCTAGGTATATCGTTCTTTTTTGGTTTAAATACTGCGAATATGTCTGGGTCTACGTACCAACAAGCAACAAGAAGTTAAACCAGAGCTGACTTTTGCTAATTCGGACATGCGCAAAGATCTGGTTGGAAACTCAATTTTCTCTGCAAAAACTTTACTTGATTGTGGAATTTCATCTTCTGATCGATGAATTAATGTTCCATTGACATAGAGTACATTAGCAGCAGCATCTTCAGGCACAGTTAATGTTTGGTAACTATAAGTTGCTTCTCTCTCAATTCTCTGAATTGTAAACAATGTTAAAATATAAAAAAGTAATATTAAGAGAATAAAGTTCATATTTCAATTAAATACCTTCAGAACTTCTTGTGATTCTTTCCCAGCACCTACACAAATAATATCTGGACCAGCCATTGTGACTAAAGCTTTGAGACGCTTTGATTCAGCAACCTGTAAACAATAATTAAGTAAAAGATATAATTCATTTGCAATTTCAAATAATATCTGAATTGTAATAATAAATGCAATAATGCA